AATAATGAAGCCAGGTGCTACTGAGTGAGGACTTGATTGAACTTCAATTAAAGATGGTGGAAAGATTTCTAACAATTTTAAATGAGGATTTCCTCTTATTTTATATTTAGGGAATTATGCTAGCACTGTACAATTAGTTTGGCCTACAATTACCATTGTTCTAATATAAACAATGTTGACTTTTTAAAGAAACAAAAAGACTTTAGGCTGGGAAAGTTTAAAAAGCTTGGGATAGGGTATCACCATGAAATGGGACAGGTATTACCATTAAAAAAGTCACAAGTCTTGTTTCTATTAGCTAATGCTTCTAGCATAACACCAAATAAATTGATACTCACAATAAAGTAATAAGAGTTGGCAACCTCCAGCATGTTTAAGGAAAATAGAATCTGATTCCTTTGACCATAAATTCAAGGTGAGCATTAAGGATTTATGGAAGTAAAAGTAGTAATAGAGTAATAGAGTACCAAGGAACCTTGTCTGCCTGTAATAGAGTATATGCACTTGCTCTCTGTATACAGTAAAAGCTTTGTTATCCAGCACCCATGGGAATGAGGGGTGCCAGATAACAAAATATGCCAGTTAATTGAGAGGCCCGAAGAGGCATCTTTGCCTATTCGCGCCACCACTTCTCCTGCCATGTCTGGGGTGTCGGTGACCCTCCCGTGCCATTGCCGACCCTCCCGCCACATTGCCAACGCTCCCACAGGCCCCGCAGGCCCTGAGGGACAGGGAGGTGGGCCCCGCGCAGCCAGCTACGCCCCGGACTGTGGGGGCTTGGCAGCGCAGGCTGCTTTGCCCCAGGCTGTGGGGGCTAGGAGAAACCGGAAGCGGCACAGTGGGCCCTTCCAGTTTCACTTTACCTTACAAGCCGGCATGCCAGTTAATAGAACACGTGGGGTAGTAAGGTGCCGGTTAACATAGCTTTTACTGTATATACATATATAGATGTAGAGGGAGAGAATGAGTACGAATGTATGTATAGAGAGAGTAATAAAGTATATATAGAGAGTACTATATATGAGTGTATGTGTATATATATGTAGAGAGACAGAGTACTTGTATATATGTATATGTGTAGAGAGGGAGAGGGAATGGGAGCATGTATATAGAGATGGAGTAATAGAGTATATGCTCTCTCTCTCTCATATATATATATATATATATATATATATATGTGTGTGTGTGATATATATATATATGTGTGTGTGTGTGTGTGTGTGTGTGTGTGTGTGTGTGTGTAATTATTATACACACACACACCCCTATATAGAATGTTATTCATTTTATTGAATTGTATTATTGAAAGTTATAAATATACTACTACTTATCAGGAAATGAGGAAATTAAAATTAAAAAACCTGGTTAAATGGGTTACCTTTCAAAAAAAGGGGCTAATTTCTAAGGCCTATCCTCCAGCAGCTGCAGTTTCTCCAGCAGAAGGGTCTTGGAGATATCTGGCTTCATTCACCATTCATTTTTAAATGGTGTAACAGTTTTATGACCCTCCCCTTAATGATCACCCATTGTGCAATAGATTGCCAATCAAAGATCACTTAATGACAAAACAGAATAATTTAACCCCTATTCTAATGACAATGCACAGAATTGCCCACGTTAGTGTCTTGACAACAGAGTCAGAGAGAAAGTTTTTAATCTGAATGAAGTAAATAACATTAACAAGCTATCATCCTTTACCTTTTCACTGCCATTTACAATGGGGTGACCTTTGAACCCTGAACTTTTCTTTGACTGATCACAACCATTATAATGTTTGTGTAAGTTGTTTAAAACTGCAGGTGTAGCCACTTACAATACCTAATAAAGTGCATGGATGAATGTGTAGGCTTCAGTAAAGCAGCAGCTCGGGACTGCTGAACAAAACAA